AGAAAGCAGTGAGTAGGACTTCCCTGGCAGTCTATATACACGTATCCATGTGAGAGCATTTCGAGAGGGAGAGCGGACTTTCCCCACTCTCGGCCGTACCAGGGCTTTTTCATAGGGGATTTTAATCCATTAAGATCAATTTCTGATACAATTAGGAAGAATCATAACATTATAGTGTAATTATTACTATTGTAAATTGTCTTGTTTAACTTATCGTCCAAAAGTATATGATTAAATTGGCTAATCTTTATTGTAAACAATACAGTGTATTTTGATGGACTTTGTCTTTTCATTAACACTACTATTATATCATGTATGTTCTTATTCTGTTCTGATTTACTTTGAAAAAGAAAATAATGTGAGATATTTTCAGTTTTTCCATCCGTTTACATATTCTTTATTATGTTAAGGACTGATGTGGAACGTTAACACAATGGTCTGAATGGTGATTGATCTGTACCTTAATCTCTTTGTCCACAGTTGTCTGCATACATTGATATAAGCGAAGACATGTCACGGTGTTTGACCGCTAATTGATGTTTATGCTGACGATGACGAATGGAGCGTTCACATTGTCCAGCTCGCAATTAGAATAGTTTATTTTGTAGATATTATGAGCACGCATTCGACTGGAAAAAAAGTCTTGGATAAGAGGAATACTAAAAATATCTGAAAATGTTTAGAGGCTTGGCACTCGTGTTAATCATCAACCAAAGAGGCATTGAAACCGACTCAATCTACCAACCGATCAGAAAAGTCATAAACAAATATATGACCAAGAATCAGATCAAAGGGAGTCGATAATGACAAGTTAAAGGTCAACAATAACCAATTGAGTTCGACAGGAAAATCTGTGAATCATATGTGGGGAAATTCGAACACTTCACTTTTACCTGATGATGTTCAGAAGCACATCTGAGCTACAAATCTCAAAACACCTAGGCATAAGAACTGTTTCATGGAAGGTTGATGTTCACCTCTCCCTAGTATTTGCTGCCATACAGTTTTATTGTCTTCGACCCGGAAGATTAGTCCACTGATTTCATTGGAAATTTTTCAGCTTGTGTTCCTTGTGCTAACCCGCGTGCGTATATTTTGCATATACCTATACCTACATACATTAACCGCGCAACTAAAACTCATGCAATTCATATGCATAAGCATACACATCGGGCAGCTTGCCAGATTTTTAGAGAACCCTGAGCATAGAACCGCGTTAATCAGGTTTACAACAGGGTAGTGGTTAGTTCGATCATTACCGACCGACCAAGCTAGCTAGCAGGGTTGCCCCCACTACTCAGCAGTACCGCGGGGAGGCTTTACATCGGATTTCGCTGCCAAGATCTTAGTAGCATTTATTATAAGAAGGCTAATCATGATACTCAGGTAAATTAATAGAAAGAGAAGGGTCAATTTTGTTGATTTGGCTCACCGTTTATCGTCACATCCCAGAAATCGCTACTGTTAATTAGACAAATTGGCTCTCTCAGCAGTACTGTAAGTGCATAACCAACTGTTATATTTGAGGAGCCGTCGCTCTTATATACGTATCGACCCTATTGAGTTTGCAGTCTAACCACTTTCACTTAATCGGGAACCACTGCAATTCGATCCTACTGGGTTATACAGGGAAACGAGAATCGCTACAATTCCCACGACGGAATTATTTATATGTCGAATTTCACCCATACTTTATAATAAGAGATACTACTGGAGATACATAGGGTTACTGTGAAAAAACACTAAATACTGTTCACCTGAATTAATATAGGCAACAAAATTGTCGCATTGAACGAGAGTTAACACTTGTCATATAGGAGAAAGCTTATACCAGATAGATACTAGAAAATATTGACCTAAATAATGTTGTTCTTCCATCATGTCATATCATTTATAAATTCATAAAAGCATGGATTTCGCAGGCATACAGCATTTTATGAAGTCTTATTACTTCGTTATCTCCTTAGCTACATGACTGACTAATTCCTACTAGTTATTTATAAAATTTGCTCTAGATTTTTCATCTTAAAGTTGGACTTCAGGGGATGTGACTATTATTCTCTGAGTCCAGTAAGATACTGGAATACAGGTGTTTGTTTAACGCGTGGTCAAATATCTGAACATATTGTAGAACGAGCTCCAGTTTCCTATCGAGCCTCTCCAACATTGATTAGAGGAAATGTAATCTATTTATATCCATCGTTAAATTTGTTTTGTGAGTCATCATGGTAAACACTGAAGTTTCTTTCACCTTGGTTTAGCTTACCTACTTTGTCATCGAAATCTGTTGCCACAGATACTAAGTCCAAGGGTTTAGGCTTTTAAAGGATGTAAGGAAACTTTCTGCAAAACCCATCTCTTTTTAGTGGAAGCGTAGGCAAATATATCGGAGAGATAGTCTCGTGTTCGTTTCCTTTGTTCTTACAGTAGTTATTTGTCAGGCAATACAGGAGCACTACGTCCAGTTCTGGAGAGTCTGTCCTAGCTTAGAACTTAATGCCATTACTAAGCCAGCGAAGCAATGAGAAGTAGCAGTCAGGTTTCCAGATAACCGAATTGTAAACAGCACTGGTCCTTCATAGTGACTCAGTGAAGTCAAGTAGATGTCCGCATTTGGACCCTGTATGCGAGTTCTGGAGATATGGTATATGTCAATGGCACGAGTCATAACTAGTGAAGCCCGTTGTGTGGTTTAAAATCCGTTTCTAACATTAAACGCCTGAACGTGTAGATTTGAGAGTGGTCTTAGGAAACCAAGAAATAACCCTTCTTGAATTTAGATCATTAGCATTGTTGGTACGTCGAGAAAAATACAGAACTATTGGACAACAGAGACAGAAGAAATATTAAGGAATATAGAACGGATTTGATCGTGAACAAGACTAGCTTGAGTGTTGCTGGATTATAGTTGCCCAGATGGAAGTTTTCTTTCCAGTTGCCTGTGAATGAAATGATGATTTTACTAACCTTGAAGCTTGACCACTAGGCCGTTTTGTGAGTAGCCTCCTATGAGTTAGCTTCGTACTTTTAAAGTCTTACAATCAAGGGTGGAAATCTATGCGACTAGATGAGGTGTTTTTTTAGGGGGCTAATCCTACCAACCTCTTCATTCCGTTTGTCAGGGGCCTGCATTACTTCAGATACTAGTTTTTTTGAGAGGAAAATATTTTATTCATACTTAACTACAGTCAGCAGTATAACTTTGCCCTGAGATTTAAAGTTTTTTTCTTTTAATGTTATCCCTCCTCCATGGAATGAGTCAATAGTCGTCCCTATCTTTAAAAAGGGTTCACGTTGTTCCTGTAACAACTATCGGGGGATAAGTCTACTTCCGATTGCGTCCAAACTATTGGCTTCTGTCATTTTTCGTAGGTTGTTTAAAACCCGAGAACGATTGACTCGCGAGGAGCAGGCTGGTTTTCGTTCTGGTCGAGGATGCATTGATCACATCTTCACCCTCCGCCAAATGTTAGAACACCGTCATACTTATCGCAGGCCAACAATTGTAGTGTTTCTTGATATCAGGGCGGCCTTCGATTCGTTGGACAGGACTGTTCTCTGGGATTGTCTATTGAAGAAGGGTGTGCCTGAGAAGTTCATTAACATCTTAAAGGCCCTGTATACGAACACCTCAGGCAGAGTGAGGGCATACAACCACCTTTCTCCCTTGTTTCATTCGAGCAGTGGGGTTAAGCAGGGTTGCCCGATCTCACCATTCCTCTTCAACTTTGCCATCGACGACATCCTAGAAACAGCTCTGATGGATGTAAGTAATGGCGGTGTGGATATGTTGCCTGGAGAACGACTTCTCGACCTTGAGTATGCGGATGATATTGTCTTACTGTGCGATAATGCCCAAGGCATGCAATCCGCACTTAATCAGTTGGCAATCAGTGTCCGCAGGTACGGCATGTGCTTTACACCCTCCAAGTGCAAAATACTCCTACAAGACTGGCAGGATTCTCATCTTGCACTCACCCTAGATGGTGAGCAGATTGAAGTAGTTGAGAAGTTCGTGTATCTAGGTAGCTATATAAGTGCTGGTGGTGGCGTGAGTGATGAAATTGATGCACGTATAATGAAAGCCAGAGCGACTTATGCCAATCTGGGCCATCTTTGGCGCCTTCGTGATGTTAGTCTGGCTGTAAAAGGTCGGATTTACAACGCGTCGGTGAGAGCAGTTTTGCTCTATGCTTGTGAAACCTGGCCTCTCCGAGTTGAGGATGTTAGACGACTCTCTGTGTTCGATCATCATTGTCTCCGAAGGATTGCCGACATACAGTGGCAACACCATGTTAGTAATGCAGAGGTTCGGCATCGTGTGTTCGGGAGCAGAGACGACAATCCAATGGATGTCACCATTTTAAAACACCGACATCGGTGGCTTGGACATGTTTTACGAATGTCGTCCCAGAGACTTCCACGTCGTGCATTGTTTGCCGACTCTGGGACTGGTTGGAAAAAGCGGAGAGGAGGTCAGTGTATGACATGGTGTCGTGGCATGAAAGAAAGCTGCAAAGGGCTAGCTTCCGTTGGTCCTTCACGACTCCTTGGTTGGGGTCCGAGAGATGGTGCAACACAGTGGCTAGAGACGTTATCAGATATGGCTCAGAATAGAAGCCAGTGGCAATCCTGCTGCAACCTTCTTTTACTTTCTTCATAAAGAGTGGTTCTAACTTTCTTAACTGAAAGAGTCTTCTGGTTGTACATTTCAGTCCGCCTTATCTTTTCATCCCTTCTCTTCCTACTTTCATTATTTCGTGTGGCGCATATGCATCTGGTGCCCTTTTGTACCAATATATATGTGTTTAAATAAATAAATAAACAAAATAATCCCTCCTCCATTGGCCTTCCTATTCGAGGGTATAGAGTTCGGATAGGTTGTCGCTTTTGATAATTCTGATCATCCAATCTAGGTAACAGCTACTGTCTGGTGTTGTTGATCTAACCAATCTAAATAAAGAACTTGCTTATAACCTTTCTTTTTTTAATATTTTTAGCACTATACAGATCATGTTTGAAGGATCAGAGCCTGGTTGCGGAGCAGGAAAGGTAATTTTTAAAATAATTGCTCTATGAATCATGTCAATAATAATAGTATTAACTTTTTATTTTGACAATTTATCAGAAGGGAGTTTTGTGGAGATTTTAGTAATTTTATAGTTGAAACCATCAGTTAATTGAAGCTAGACCACTATGGAAAACCTGGAAGTACTGGACGGCCATTTCGTCCTCAGGAGTCCCACAATAGAACCAAACGACCGTCCAGTGCTTCCAGGTTTTCCATGGTAGTCTAACTTCAATTGACTCATGATTTTAACTATAAAACAATAGATTTATCAATTCGTATTTTTCTGTTGAAAAAAGAACGGTCAATGTTGAGGTCAGTTCTGATGAAATGAATTACCTGATGCATTTTTATGACATAATATTCTAGTGAGAAGCAGTGGCCGGTGGAGTTCAACCAGGTCTGTTGTGAGATAGTAACTCACTGAAGACAATGGTGGATGTATAGCTCAATTTCGTGAATCGGTTGAAGTTACACATTAACACCGTTGGATGCCGGCCAGCTCAGTGCTCTGGAAGTTAGGCGCTCGCTCGAAAGACTGATAGATCCTGGATTCGAATCTCGTGAGGTGGGATCGTGGATGCGCACTACTGAAAAGTCCCACAATAAGACGAAACGGTGGTCTAGCTTCAATTGACTCATGGTCTCAACTATTATAAATTAATATTTAAATATTAGAAATATTATGGCAGTAAAAAAAGTTTGAAAATACTCTTTATTTGACCAGTTTTGAGATACAAGTTTATGTTTAATATACATCTCTTATATAACGGGGATGAGTTTCTTTGATTCTGTATAATACAATTTAATGCTTGATAATATACTAGGTAGATCAAGTAAGCTCAGCTATTCACAATCCCATCATCTATTAAATACAAAATACAAACCAGAATAATAGTTTCTTAACACAGGATACAAACAATTAAGATAGAGTGAAATCGTAGTCACGTATAAAATAATCACTTTTATTTAATATAAACAGATAAATTAATCTCTGCTTACTGGTCAATCTTGCTTTATATATATAATTCACTATTCGTTTTAGGGCGGTGGTGCCGGTGGTTCTATTCGTGAAGCTGGTGGTTCACTAGGCAAGAGGGAAGCCACTTTAGAAGATGAATACTTCCGACGTTTGGTAATCATTAAATATTATTGGTAATCTTTAAATATCCCTCTTTTTTAGGATAAACAAAACATCGAAGCACTCAAGGATAAACTGAATAAGAAATCTGATGTGGAAAAATAATCTTCGGTGGGTGTGGCATTTAATATTGACCATAAAAAAATATTTAGTATTCATATAAAGTACCTTCATATAAAGTACCAGCATGACAGCGATGCTGCCTTCCCACAAGGAGGGGTGGGGTTAGAAAAGGTCGACCCTAAAAATGCACACCTCGCCTTATCCCACGGATTTCCGTCTCCGGCGGTAAGGACTTTTGAAGAACGGAGCTAACACGTCAAAAATCCCCCACAAAAAGGCCGTGCGTGACCGGCCTCAAGCAGATGTCCCTTGGGCACTGCGGTCACGCACCCAGGTCGTTAAGACCAACACTAATCCAACTTCTTTTTCAGGTCCCTCAAGAAATACCCTTCCACGGTGTGGGCAGCCGGGAAGTGATACTAGCCCTCATACCCTTAACTGCACACAAGACCAAGTTGGTCGCTTTCAAATCCTTCCTACACCTCCTAATAACTCTGTTATCTCCACGACTAACCCTTCCCACGTCCTTTTATCACCTCGCACCGCTAGGGCAAACGATTCGAGTACACAGAACGTTATTTCTGGTCTCCTGAAACCACGCTCTAAACTACATATAGGAACTTTTAATGTCCGAACATTGTGCCAAATAGGACAACAGGCTTCCTTAGCTAGGACTCTAGAATCTTACACTATCGATGTGTGCTGCGTCTCCGAAACGCGCATACAAGATCCGAGTAGTGCCATTCATTTGACCTCACCTAATCAAAATAAAGTTTCATCTCGATACACGCTTCGTGTATCTGGTAGCCCTGACGCTGCTTCCCGTGGCCTCGCTGGAGTTGGTATAGCATTAAGTCCTAGGGCAGAACTAGCTCTTTTAGACTGGATCCCAGTAGACAGTCGTCTATGCGCTGTCCGACTAAACGGATCAGTAATAACTCGGAAAGATAGGAAAACTCGTCGTTGCCTCTTCGTCGTCTCTGCCTACTCTCCCACTGACTGCAGCTCAGACGATATAAAAGATGAGTTTTACAGAAAACTTTCTGACCTTCTCCGAGAAGCTAGGCGTTCTGATGTAGTAGTAGTAGCAGGTGACTTTAATGCTCAAGTAGGTAAACTAAGTGAAAGGGAAAGACACCTGGGTGGATCTTATGGTGTCATGGCGAAAAGAACAGATAATGGCGACCGTCTGTTGCAGCTGTGCTCAGATAACCGCCTATTTCTTGCAAATACTAACTTTAAGCATAAGGAAAAACATCTTTTGACATGGCGACCCCCGAATTCGTCCCAACGTTGGACCCAATTAGATCATATCGCTATCAGCCACCGATGGAGGGGCTCGATAGAAGACTGTCGCTCATTATGGGGCACATGTTTAGATTCAGATCATGCTCTAGTGCGAGCACGTATCTGTCTGCGTCTAACTGGTCGTAGGAAAGACACTGCAGGGAAGCCTCTAAGGGTTCTACTTAATGATAGGTAAGCTAAGAATATATATCAGGAACAACTAGAAAAACAGTTAGGCAGCCATGTAAGTTGTGTCCACCCCGAGGCAGCGTGGAATGACATCCGAAATGCTGTGGAAACAGCAGTGATGTCCGTAGTAAGGTAAACCATAACGTTAGGGAGAAACAATGGATCTCGGCAGCATCTTCCGCACTGATAGATGCTCGTAAACTCATCCCACCTGGCTCTGAGCATAACGAAGAGCGGAGTCAACTTTAGCGCAGGCTTATTAGAAGCCTACGTAATGATCGTGAACAGTGGTGGGTAGCGAAAGCAAGATAGATGGAAAAGGCAGCGGCAATACGTAACAGTAGGCAGCTATTCAGATTCGTTAAAGAAACCGGTATTAGGAACCCGAATATCAGTGAAACCATCTCAGATAAAGATGGGCATATTATTCATTCTCAATCCAGGAGATTGGATCGATGGGCAGAACACTTTAGGGATCAGTTCAACTGGCCTTCAGCCACGCTTCAATTACCCACGATCCCCAGTCGTCCTGAATGGCAAATTGACGTAAGTCCTCCAACCCTCTGTGAGGTTGAAAAAGCTATAGGAAATCTGAAGCGATGGAGAGCAGCAGGCCCTGACAGGTTGACCCCTGAGATTTTTAAGGATGGTGGTCCAGTACTAGCAGTGAGATTGACTGAGGTCTTAGGTAGAATCTGGGAACTGGACGTAATTCCATCTGACTGGTCCCAATCACTGATTGTGCCAGTCTATAAGAAAGGACAAAAGTCCTCTTGTGACAATCACAGAGGGATCAGTTTGACTAATATAGTGTCTAAAATATTAGCTTCAATAATACTACGTCGCCTAACCAAAGCTCGTGAAGAGCAGACTAGAGAAAACCAGGCTGGTTTTCGACCTGGACGTGGTTGCATAGACCAGATATTCACCCTACGTCAGGTTCTAGAACATAGACACAAATTCAGACGTCCCACAATAGTAGTATTTCTTGACCTTAAGGCGGCATTTGACTCTGTTGATCGTGAGGTTCTATGGCAATGTTTGTCACTGAAAGGAGTACCAAAGAAGTACATTAACCTCATAAAGGCTCTCTACTCGAACACAACTGGTCAAGTGAGAGCCTATGGCGAACTGTCATCAGAACTGATTACCACAAGTGGCGTTGGTCAGGGCTGTCCACTCTCCCCATTCTTGTTTAACTTTGTCATTGACATACTTTTATAGATAGCACTTTCATCAGCTAAACCTCCAGGAGTTGAACTCTTACCGGGAGGCTCACTTGTTGACTTGGAATGCGCCGACGACATAGTTTTACTCGGTGAAGACGCTGACAACATGCAGAGTCTTCTGACCACCATAAGCAACTATGCAGGCATGTTCGGGATGCGATTCTCTCCCTTGAAGTGCAAAATGTTACTTCAGGATTGGGTTGCAGCGACACCTGAACTAATGATAGGGAGTGAAGTAGTTGAGCGTGTAGACCACTTCACTTATCTTGGGAGTCTCATCAGCCCTTGTGGTCTGGTGTTTGACGAAATCTCAGCACGGATACAGAAGGCTCGTCTAGCTTTCGCCAACTTGCATCATTTGTGGCGTAGGCGAGATATCCGTCTAGCAACCAAAGGACGGGTTTACTGTGCAGCAGTTCGTTCCGTCCTACTTTATGGAAGTGAAACATGGCCGGTAAGAGTAGAGGATATTCGTAGGCTACTAGTGTTCGATCATAGGTGTCTTCGAAGCATTGCTCGTATATCCTGGGACCACCGAGTAAGTAATGCAGTTGTTAGGAAACGAGTACTAGGTAGGGATGGCAAATCGATTGATGAAGTAGTGAAACTTCATCAGTTGAGATGGCTGGGACATGTGTTACGTATGCCCGACCACCGACTGCCCCGACGTGCAATGTTTCATGGTGTAGGAGTAGGTTGGAAGAAAGCTAGGGGTGGCCAGACCAAAACGTGGCACAAATCAATGAAGTCACTGACAAGTGGACTGGGCCATGTTGGTAAGTGTAGACTACCTGGTTGGGATTCGCGAGATGATAGCAACCGATGGTTAGAGACCTTGAATGACATGGCTCAAAATCGTTTGCAATGGCGAAGATGCATCCACTCTTTGTGTTCTACCAAATTCTAATCTTCTGAATTTCTCATGTCTTTATGTTTTTCTCTTTCCAAATATATTTCACTGTACTATACTCCTTCAATAATTTCTTCAAACCCTAATCTTTTGGATTTCTGATTATACTCTTACTACTTCTTCCACTATGGGATTTGAATCGACAACTGCATCTGTGTGCTAATGTGGTATGGCAACTCGAACTGATGTACGTACGTACGAAGTTCTACGTTGTGACTGACTGACTGACTATAAAGTACTTGTGGAGATTGCTCAGTGTTTCCAAGTCTATTTTCCATCATCAACTAACATCAGCTATAGTACTGTTATATCTTGTGGCTTACATGCCCTGTTAATGTATAACGTGATAATACCACCAATTAGAGAGCAATGAATTATCGATCGGACCAATGACACACGAAACCCGTACGAGCAGTCTAGAGTCCTTATCAGTCCCGCTTCCCGCCTAGCCCAGTCTATTAAGCCTAGAACACCAATAACAGCCTCTGCGATATGAATCATTTATTTCAAACATACTGGGTTTATATACCAACCAGATAGACCACATCGTACCATAAAATAGGAAACAACATTTGTATAAGATTTAGCCAAATGTGGCTGTGAATGTGGGAGACAGTAATTAATAGACTGAGGATAACCCAAGAATGGCAAATCGTATAATAATAGTCTATGGGTCAAAATAAAGCTTATAATAAGAGTCGCGAATATGAATAGTTTAGTTAGTTAACAATTACGAGTTCACCTTACTCGGTAAACGGAACGAAGGTCAAAGACACAGTGACATGATAGGTTATTCTAATTCGTTGTTCACAGCCCCGCTAATTAGATTAAAAAGTCTTGATGAGACGTTGAGAATGTATTCTACAAGCACCTAGAAAATACGATATCACTAAGCACACAAATCAAGTTTATTTATACGATGAAAGATGCTTGATAAATAATTTTTTTATTTTATTTAGAAAATCTGATTTCATTATTTCTCTTTATTTACTTTTTATATTCATTCAGAAGAAATCTAACATTTAAAAGATGAATGATAATCTGTTTTTATCGGTTTTAATGCTTTTAATAATGTTTTGGACATAACTTCATTATGTAGTGGTTATTTTACTTTTAGAAACAACAAATATATATCCTCTTTTTGCTTGTAAACATCAGTGTGTTTCTTTTCTAATCCATCGATCTAGTCACTTATAATCAACATAGAGCCTGATACAAATTAGTATTGGCTCAAGTTACTGTGCCATATCAATACAATAAGGTGAGATTAACATGATGAGTTGTAATGGAAAAGGCATGTATGAAGAAATACTGAAGTTTAAGACTGAATAGAGGATAAAGAGTGAATGCATTTGTGTAATGGTCATAGATTCTAAGCCATATTACCTAAAGTTTCAAACCACTGGTGGCGGTTATTACGCTGATCCTAACTGGGTAGTCTGCATCTGCCAACATAACTCAGACCAACTGTCAATAACTTTTTGGTTTGTATGTCACTAGCTTTCTTCAAACCTATTCACATAATATATAACATTACTTGTCAAAGTAGGCGGTGATAGAGCATATGTAACACATGTTATAACCACCTCAGGTAATGATTTATAACCTGATCAATCGATTTTCCTTTATTATCTAGTACTTTAAACCTAATCTCAATATTTCTCACTCGGTCGTCTCACGATAAGCGAACAGTGCTTCGAAGTACTTATAACAAAAACCTGGGGTCTACATATGTGTTCCACTTCCAACGACCATGCTTCATAACCAGAACTATGTAGAGAGACCCTACAAACAAAAAGCTTCCCTTTATTCCTTGGATTTCTGTCTCTAACTCATCTAAAACTACTAACATAAAGGGTGTATATGACCGACTTCAAGCAGTTTGCCCTTTAGCAGTGCGATCACCCTACTACGTCGTCAAGACCATCTCTGACCTAGTTCCATTTTCAGGCACCTCAAGATCATTTATCGCTTCAAAGCGTATTTGACCGGCAGTCAACAATTACCGTCATACCTCCAAAAGCACTTGAAAACACTTAGTTCACAATTTGTTATTCTCCAGTTGTTATTAATTGCTTCTTTTAAAAACATATTTCATTGATTATATAAAAACTGATTAGATTAGTGGATTCACCATTCATATATCTTGGGAATTTAATAGCAATCGAGAATTCCATTTATGATGACATATGAAGGTTTAATGTTTTACATTATAGGCAATCACATTGTTTACCTTTGAATCTCACAAATATAGACAAACGTTTAAGTTTTTGATCTATCGAAGATCAACAGAAGGGCGAAATAAAGCATAACCATTTTTATGTTGGTTTGTTCTCTGAGCTGGATAGTTTGGTTGTGGAGCTTTCATCGTCTTTCTGAACGACATCATCAGCACAAACTTCGGGTAGAAGTGAAGTGTTTGAATTTCTCCACATGTGATTCACAGCTTGTCCTCTGCACCTCGATGTTGATTGGTTCTTATTGACCTTAAATCTGTCATTGTTTATTTCTTTGTTTTGGTTGTATCTCTTATTGGTTTGATTTTTGTTCCTATGTTCCTGCATAATTTTTTTGATTGGTTGATAGATTGGATTGATTTCAATATGTTTGTTTATTGCTGATTGACCTGAGTGCCAAGCTTCTAAAAATTCTCTGGTATTTTTGGACCACCATCTCAAAAGCATAACCATGTTTCTAGAACTACAAAATTAGGAAAATAAAGAGAATGAACGGTTATTATAAAAGAGTAAACATTTTTATCCCTAGAGGAAGGGGGGAGAATGATTTTTAGTCATATTTTTAACTAACTAATCATATCAAAAGGGGTTTTGTGGATATTATAATAATTTCAATAGTTGAGATCCACAAAACCCCTTCTGATATTAATCAACATATGCTCACCAGTGACTGGTTTCAAGAGGTATTTCTTAGAGTTCTAGTGAGAAGCAGTGACCAGTGGAGTTCAACAGGGTCTGTTGTGAGATAGTAACTCACTGAAGACAATGGTGGATGTATAGCTCAATTTCGTGAATCGGTTGAAGTTACACATTAACACCGTTGGATGCCGGCCAGCTCAGTGGTCTAGAGGTTAAGCACTCGCACGCGGGACTGATAGATCCTGGATTCGAATCCCGCGTGGCGGGATCGCGGATGCGCACTGCTGAGGAGTCCAGTGCTTCCAGGTTTCCCATGATGATCTAGCTTTAATTGACTCATGATTTCAACTATTGAAATAACTAATCATAGTTGTAAATCTAAAAATTACCTGGATTTTTGAAACAAGATTGAGAATATAGGTATCATTACTAAGGTTTGATTTGATAATTTCGAATAAATTGAGCATTGGGTAGGTTGTTATAAATAAATAAAATAAGTTTGTATTATCCCAATCAGTAGAAAAAAAGAGAAATTTCTGACGTTTCGTGACTCAGTGTAAGCTATCTCTTCAGACAATAAATAATCAAATCAAGCTTAATCCACGTTTAAATAGTACAACGAAAAAACGCAAGGATATCATGTGCTATCAGGTCTGAACAAATCAATGTCATGTCATTTCGGTCAAGGTGACCATGTATCCTAGTAGCGTAGTCTGATATTTTATGTTGGTTTGTTCTCTGAGCTGGATGGTTTGGTCGTGGAGCTTTCATCGTCCTTCTGAACGACATCATCAGCACAAACTTCGGGTAGAAGTGAAGTTTGTGCTGATGATGTCGTTCAGAAGGACGATGAAAGCTCCACGACCAAACCATCCATCTCAGAGAACAAACCAACATAAAAATCACCCACCTGAGCTACAAATCTTCTCCACCATCTCGTAGTCTGATATTATTTACAATTCACACTATTACCTTACAAATGAAACTCTATCCTTTCTCATTATAAGGGTCACACATTTTTTCATCCTTAACAGTGCACATATACACACACAAATTTACATACATGACGCTTATGGATCACCTTGACCGACATCACATGACATTGATTTGTTCAGACAGTTTTTTTTTATTGATCGCACATGATATTCTTGTGTTATTTCGTTGTACTATTTACACTCGGATCAAGTTTGATCTGGTTATGTATTCTCTGAAGAAGTGCTCTACACTGAGTCACGAAACGTCAGAAATCTCTTTTCTACTCATCGGGATATTACAAATATATCAATTTATTCATGACAATCTATCCAATGCTCAATTTATTCGAAATTATCAAATCAAAACTTGGTAATGATACCTACAATATACTATACCTAAATCAACCACATTTTAAAGACAACCAATAATCCTTACCATCTTTTCATTCTGATAAATCTTCTAACTGAACGCTAGATTCAGTTTTAAAGCTCTCTAGTAACCCCTGGGCTAAATCTACACAGAGACTTGAACACGAGAGAGAAGGCGCGAAATATGAAAGAAACGCTTTACCTCAAGGTTCTTTTATGTAGAGAAAATCTAAGGTATTTCTAGCGTTTTAGATGGCCCTGGGTTTCCGGAAAATTCTGGAGCTCTGATAAATATCTTAGTAATATAGATAATCATCCAATCAGAAACGCGACATATGACTTTTCATTATCTAGATGTTTTTGGCGAAATTCTATTGAATGCTGATTGGATAAGAGGTTTTTCAGCGTTTTGAGACTTTTTTTGAGGAAATTTCTGAATCTCCCCAACACATTTCCTATTTCATTACTCAAAATCCATCACTAAGCATTTTTACTAAGATAAACTTGAGTTGATTTTGCTTTTATCCATGTTAATTGTCCACAAGTAAATTTGAAGAAACTGTAGAGATACATTTAAATTTTCTAACTTTCTGCTTGGAATTCCCGTAGAACCAAATTACCTGCTATAGTGTGTATGTTTGCAATTGGCCGAATAGCGAAGCTAACAGCTGTCTTATTTTATTTTGACTAGGCAAATGAAGTTCAAATGAGCAATGGGTCTTCTTTTCTAATCATTTTCATCATTCGATAGACATAATTTGTGCTAGAAGAGAAAATTAGGAAGAAAATAATCTACCCTCAGTATTACTTATGATTTAATTCTAATGATATTCCAACTTATGGACAGATTTATGCAAAATCCCATTATACAGTGAATATAACCCCAACTTTGTTTTCAAATAACGAAGGATAGATATTTATTTGCAAATTTATTTCATAAGAAATCTGGTACAATTAGACACAAAAAAATAGAAGAGATTGAACAGAACAAGTTTGTGTGTGGGTTGGGATACTGCACAAGTGCCTAAACTGAAGTAAGTAGGTTGTTATAAGGCAGCTTATCTAGGCTTTGATGTAGAGGTTTAATCAAAAGAGGGACATCTTTCTATGGTAGTCGGTAGTCAGATATGGGCTAATACGCCATTTGTTTTCTACGACCCCTGGAGCGCATGTAAACTGTCCGTCTGGAATCAAGGTTTTCAAAATTCCTCAAGGGAGTTCTCTAAGTTAACCAACTCGCCATACGTAAACAACCCCCTTTGGAAAAAAGATAGTGAGTAGAACTTCTATAAAATAGGCCGAGAACCCATGGTCGTATAGGTACACTTTGGGAGGGAGAGCGGACCTTTCCAAGCCTCGTATGCACTAAGGATAGAATTAAGATTTACAGTTAGAAGCTGTGGTTAGGAATTCATGCTAAAATTTTCATCAAACTTACATCAGCTATAATGCCAAAATTTTATTTAACCTTATTGACGAGTGAGTTTTGTGCAAAAAATCCAGGACTTATTATCTTTAACTTCATTGATTAGTTCATAAATTGTAGTTTCGCCGGATTTTATTGTAGCTCAATTTGTAGATAGACTTAATAACGTCAGAATACCGTACTAACTCATAAGAAGGAAATAAACCATTTGCCCCTTCTAAACAAACTTTTAAGTCTAAGGGAAGATCGGGTTATAAAACAATCAATTTACAGGAAGGTTACACGGACTTGTCAACATCTAATCTACAATTTCTATCCAATGAAATACAGTTGACGTTTGATAAGAAGCCTCCTCAAAATAATTCAAAGAATCTTCACTACAAATACTATCGAAGATATGAAATTGCTGACTGAAAATTTGATATTAAAACGATATCTGTTGAAGTTCATATATCGATGTAAAAGCCAGTAAAAATGGGAACTCCTTATTAATTCTATTTCGAAGAAAAACATGTTATTGTCAAAAGCTCTGATAAACATAGGTAACAAACAACTATTCCCCTCGTTAGTAAGATACATAGTTACAACAGGCCATTAGATTGACTTTAAAACACCTTAAAAAAAACATGTTGTTAAGGCCATACAGTTTTGGGGATTAGAAAATTGAAAACTTCTTTGTGTAAATGGAAACAATTTGTTTTAACCTTGAATCTGCCCAATTACTTGCCATTGATTTTCAGTAAAAAGTATCTGTAACCAGATTGGTCAAAAATCTATTACGTAAACGTGATCTTCTAGAACTTTTCAGGAACATGCTAAATATAGTAATACTATAGGTAAATATCTTATCAGAAGTGTGATATATGATCCTTCATCTTTCTAGATATTTTGAGGAATTTTCTGTCTGATGCTGATTGGACAAAACGTCTCTTGACAATAATTGGGTAACTAGAGACTTTGACAAGGGATATTTTTGAAATTTTCCAACAAGTTCAACTTCTAGATCTATTAGATATGAAACATTTATTGAGTTTCATTTTACAAAATTTAAAGGTTAAATGACTCTCCTGACATCTTTGTCTATTGGGTAAATACAAAACAAACTCAATAATTTCTTTTTAATTTTCTTTCATACTATAAAACGAAAATAGTTATTCATTTATTACTTGTAGTGTATGAGATCTCATTCGAAATTTATCCAGTTTTATAGTTAAAATCATGAATCAATTAAAACTAGACCACCATGGAAAACCTGGAAGCATTGGACGGCCGTTTCGTTATATTGTGGGACTCCTCAGCAGTGCTCACCCACGATCACACCTTATGAGATTCGAACCGAGGACCTATCAGTCTCACGCACGTAAACTTAACCACTATCCAGTTTTATCATATAGTTTAATTATTTTTTGGTATCATAAAAACTTGATTGCCTGATGTGGACTAAAATTACTTGGTTTATTATTTATTCTTAACTTTAAGTGATCATTACCATATCTTTCACTATACTACTGAATGATATTAATTCTTCTACTGAGCACTTAGATTAGATTGAAGATCGTAGGTTATTAGGTTGTAATTCAGTGTAAATAATGTTAATAATCTATAAATCATTATTAATATTATAAGCAAAGATGGATAGCGGCTAGCAGCGGAATCCAGGACGCACGTTTCGTCCTGTTTGGGACTCGTGACCTGGATGTACCTGCATTTCGGAGTTGATGTTCACTCTCGGACTCGAACCCAGTACCTTTCGTTTCAAACTTACTTACGCCTGTTACTCCCAATGGACTATAGGCCACCGACCAGGTTAAATGGTTTGAATAATTCTTTCTGATTAGCGTTTTTTTAGCGACTTGGTTTTCTACGGGTTGGGGTCGCTAACCCCATACCCAACCCTCCTTCTTTATCTGGACTTGGGATCGGCAGCAGCCCCCGAAGGAGCCATCGCGTTATCCACTTAGCTACTGAGTCCTGATAGCCACTTGATTGTGGAGTGAAGTTTAAATTCACTTAGTATTGTTTGTTTGAATCTTCCCTTTGATGTTTTTAGGACTGCAATTGATCAGTCCCTTATTGGCCATATGTGTATACTGTGCGTATTGCCTCGATGTAGCCTTGATTCACAAGCATTATAAACAAAGATGGATAGTGGCTATTAGTGGAATCCAGGACGCACGTTTCATCCCATTATTGTTAAGAAAGAACATAATCTTTTTTTCGTAAATAAGTATATAAATTTATTAAATGATAAAAAGAGACTATACATAGGGAAACTCACTCCATATAGAAACAAGAGAAACTACACATAACACACACACACACAAAAGGATATATACCTAATATTGTAGACAATAATTGTTGTCACCGGCTAATTCAATCAAAACACACACACACACATTTGAAGAGATCATGGCAACATGTAATACATTTTTTAAATGAAAAGAAACGATTATACAACATAATTCAATTTGTAGAAATTACATATGAACATCTTTAGAAAATGTAATAATGGTAACACTTAAAAAGACAAAAAACAACAAAACGTCGATAGGTAAACACTCACCCACCCCCTTACTTCATCTTAACAATTATAATTTATAATGGTAGCTGTATAAAGAAGGAGAAGGAAAATAATGAGGAAATATTATTGAGGAATTATTGTACAACAACAACCAAATGATAACCAGATATAATCAATGTTGTAGTGTTAAATTAAAAGTTTTCAATTTCATTCATAATATACTTTACTTGAGATTATAACAAGTTATAAGTTAATTAGGAAAAAGGTTAATGACATCACCACCACCGCCACAACAACTACTACTACTTAGTTGTATAGATGAAACTAGTTACTATGGTGGTGTATCGAATCATCAATGAACTTAATGAATAAAAAGTTGAATGTATTAAAAAAATAACTAGTGAGCCAATTACTGTTCCATGGGAAGTTTTACAAGTGAATTATGTACATGGAGAGAAAAGTTGTGTTTCTTTCTTCTTCAAAGTTACTGAATGTCTTTATTAGTTCTCTGAAGAAATCTCATTACATTCATACATCATGACATAAGGTAACAGTAGAAAGAAAAATGAAACAGACAGAAAAAGAGACAAACCACAAGCAAGGAAGAAGTTGAGTAAAAAATTTTTTTCTTTTTTTTCAAACAAAAAACAATACAAAGACACACACGAGAGATCATACTGGAACGATGATGGTTATTATTTGATTACACAATTTGTATTTGATGATCATTTGACGTTGAATTGATCAATCCGGATGTATTATTGTTATTAATGTTAATGATAGCTGGATCAGAGGTAATTGTCTGATGTAATGCAAGTTCCATTTCCTTCTTTGTTTCCTCACCTTCGATATTTGGTTGTTTTTCTTTATGTTTTGCCATCGAATCGAATTGACGTCTTTAAAATGTGTGGAACAAAGAGAAAGAAGTGTGCGTATTGTATAAGAGGAGGACAACTAAATTATACAATAAAGTGATAATGATGATGATGATCACAACATTGTCTCAACATATCCAAATGAAAACATTGTAACAACAGAATGAAATGAACAGTTTCAGAAGTTACACCGATTAATTGTCATCGCTCTTGTCTAGTTCTTAGTTCTGATCAAGTTCCATCGTATATTATTAGTTTAATTGGTTTCCCTTATTATGTGTATTGTAGTTTTGTTCTAAGTGATAACTCAAGGACATTAATATGAAACTCTGTTTGACATAAGCTTCATAATAATTAAGATATTTTAGCAAAATGCATCTGTGATTTTCATGTGAATTAAACTGTCCACAATATTGAAGTCTATATCACTGTCACAACTAGAGATGTTAACACGAAGCTAATCAAATCGTGACTGATGGGGAAACGTCAATTGTTTGTTAACCGACATTATAACCCTGAAATTTCGATTCTAATTCCTTACACTAATTTATAACCCTCTTTAGACTCTGGATAGGGTAGGTGAACTCAATTAACGTAACTTTAGCGTCGTTCAAAAGGTCGTCCATAAATTGTAGTCTCCCCCTTAAGATCATATTCTAACATATGTCAAAACTGCGTTACTCGACTTTTATTTATATATTTTGCACGAAATTTGGTACAAAAACAAATATACATTATCTGTATGGGGATTTGTGGAGAATAGAGTATTTTCGTAGTTGAATTCACGAATCCAACTAAGCTAAACACTGGATAGCTGTTTCGTCCTAGTACAGGACTCCTCAGCAGTGCGCATTCACGATCCAGCACGCAAGACCTTCAGTCTCGCATGCGAACTCCAGACTTCTAGATAACTGAACCGAGATCCAACGGTGTTAATGTCTAACTCAAATCGATACAAAATCTTGCGGAAGATCATGACGCTGTCCAAAAAAGCACGAAAAACATTTATAAGATGGGAATCTCATGGATTTAGAATCACCAAAATATTCTTAAGGCTAAGGAGGAGAATTACAATGAATGTTATCCAGTGCTATGTGTCCGCCAAGGATGAAAAGAAAGACGATAAAGACCAGTTTAATGAGAGATATCAGTAGAGAAATGCTCAGGAAAGGACTTGATCATTCTGATGGGATAACTGAACGCTTAAATCCGAATATAAGATACATGGAATTTCTAAGCTTCCGTTCATTCCATAAATCGTTGTCATATGTCGCATTACTCCAGGTT